GTTTTAGGCTTCCATGGCTACATTACAATATGGGTAATATATCACTCAATCATAGGTAATTTAGCTCATACTTGAAAGAAAAGAAACACAAAAGAAAAAAGAAAGTTACATGGAAAAACAAATAAAGAAAGACAGAGGCGATGCTGTAGTTCTATATTTATAGGAAGAGTTGACTTAGGTGCCATGTGACCTTTTGAATTTGAATTCCCTCAGAAATAGCCTCCTAATCTGATATGGATTTATCGTTAAGCTCAAAGTTTTTATTATGGTTGCTGGAAATAAGGATTTGTTAGGGTAGATGTTCATCTCTTGTTATCTTTATCCTTCTTATTCTTTATCAATGTTGTAGCATCTAATCTTCTGTTTGAATTTGAATTTCCATGCTCATATTCTTATCTATTATGTTGCAACTTTATAACGCACCATTTCATTCATCGGTCCAGTGTTATAGCATTGTTGTGGCTCCGACCTGCATCAAAAACTTCAGATATAGTTAATTGCTCTAGCATCATAATCAACTCAAATACAAACACTTAACACATTTAGCATTCAAAACACACAAAGATAAGATTCATGCAATTATGGAATTTTATACATATTAGTTGTTCACCTTTGTGTTAACATTTTCCAATACTACAACCTTGTTTTCTATCTTCTCTTTAATAAAGGGGTATTGTATGCCTATTGATATGCGCTCAGCATATAAGGAAATCTAAGCCAAAAAGAGAAAGAACGTGATTAAATCTTAAGCAAAAAGGGCAATAATCACTGTTGATCTGTCGAATTCTTAATCAGAGATTGCATATTGATTTTATGTTGATTTCGTAGGAAAATAGACAAATTGGAGCTAAAGAGGAAAAGCTAAACTGAAGGCCCACGCTCACAGCGTGGGTATGACGCTCATAGCATGAAGAGAGCCCTTTCACACAAAGACAACCACGCTACTAGCGTGAGACTCACGCTAGTAGCGCCAGAGGTTCAAAAACAGGAAGAAGCTACCACGCTACTAGCGTGGGATTGACACTAGTAGCGCCAGCCTTTTTCACAATCCACGCTTGCAGCGTGGCAGCCACGCCAGTTGCGTGGTGCTCCAGAATATAGAAGAAAAACTCCCACGCTCACAGCGTGGGAACCACGCTAGTGGCGTGGGAGGTGCGGACAAATCAACTTAAATCTTCGTTTAAATCAGAGACAAGATTACAGTGAGATGCAGAAAAGATTAGATCAAGATTCTCCATTAGGTCAAAGACTCTATAAATAGAGACTCAGACCTCAAGAGAAAAACACACTTTTGCACGGGTTAAATTGCGAGCGACAGGAATCGGAGCGAGCTTTCGGTGATTGCAGATCAAGATTTCTTCTTTCATTCTTTCCGGTTATTTCTAGTTTTTATGAATTCTTTTGAATACTTTGTTTTGTCAGACATGAATATGTCTCGCAAGTCTTTTATATTGTGGTAAGGGTCACAACCCTTGATGTGAACCCCTTGTATTTTGGTTAAGTTTATGGTTAATTATTTAATTGAATTTATTTTACTCTATTCTTCATCCCATAATTCTTTTAGAATTCGCGACTCTATTAGGATTGCGAGGGTTAGGGTTTACAATAGCAATATTGGGATTCTAATTCCTGACAAAGGGTAAGATAACTGTTCATGTATACACTAGGGATAGGCTATATGAACTGCAAATGTGGAAAATTCACTGGGCTTAAAGATTAACTTGAAAAGGGATTTCTAAGAGATTAGGATTCTAATAGGGTTAATAAGGTTAAGATCACTAAGGGATTAGGGCTTAACTCATTAATTATAGATGGTGAATTATTTGGTCAATTGGATAACTAAAGATAAATATTAATCAATATTACAAGGTGGGGATCAGAAAGGTGTTGGAGTCCTTTACTGCAATAGTTTCTTTACAATATTTTCTCAACTCTCAACTTTTGATTTTAAGTTTTCAATCTTCTCTTTGAATTGTTCACGAAATATTGAATAGTTCACAATTGTTACAACCACTATTACTTTCAAATCAACTCTTGTTCTTCCATTCTTAAAAGGAACAATTAATTGATATTCGACCAAATCCCTGTGGAGACGATACTCTACTCACTTTTTATTACTTGGTACGATCGGTGCACTTGCCGATTTTTCGCAACACCTATGTGCATGGTCCTTACATGGAAGTTTGGGAGACTATTTTAGAATATACAAACACGTATTCAACTTGCAAACTAAGTCTTCTTTTACCTTTTACTACGAAACCCTCTAGCTATTTCATGTGAATAACCTCCTCCAAGTCACCTTGAAGGAATATAGTCTCAAGATCATACAAAACTGCCACAAATGAAACTAGTCTTATGAAATTTAACTTTGAACCATAATCAACTCCTTTTATTTGTCAATATCCCTTTGCAACCAAATGGGCCATGTAACACTCAATCTCCCCATTAGCACCAATTTTTTTCTTGAACACCCTCTTGCAACCAATTGCCTTTCAGTCTGCAGGTATTTTCACCAAACCTTAAGATTAATTTTCAATTAGAAAGTTCAGCTCATCTTCCATGGATTCTTCCCACTGTTTGGCATCCTCTGAGCTCCTAGCTTGCTTTATAGTGTTCAAATCAACACATGTAATTCTCAAAGAATAATTTTCATCACTATAAAAAATGATATAACTATCAGGTATATACCTCTCAGATGGTTTTCTTTCCCTTGTGGACCTTGATATGTCTCCAGCATATATATGATTTTAAGCCAAAAAGAGAAAGAATCTTGATCAATCTTGAATAAAAAGGGCTATAATTACTATTAATTTAATAAATCCTAATCAGGTATCTTGTCACTGATTTTCTTATATTTTTATAGGAAAAAGTTCAAGAAAGGGGCCCAATTGAATAGCATGTGACAATTTTAAATCCTACATTAGAGGGTATCTGGAGGAGATCTTACATGGAAGATTTGATCAAGATTTCTAAGCAAGGCACAAACTCTATAAATAGACTCAGACCCCAGAGACAAACATTCTTTGGCTGGAGAGAATTCTTGGAGGCCCACACTAGAGATCAGGATCCCGACGGAGTTGAAGAACGAAGACCATTGATCCTTCATCTTCTTCTTCTTTTTTTCTTTATTGTTTTCATGAATACTTTTTATTTCTTTAATTTGTTAGAGTCGGCTATGTCTGACTAGTTTCTTTTTGTAGTTGGGATCACGGACCCAATGTGATTCCTTTATATTTCCTATACTGTTTTTATAAGTTAATTAGTTAGTTTATTTTATTCTGCCTGTGTTAATTTTTCCATATACTGTTTAGAACTGATCACTCTAAATTACAAGGCTTTGAGGGTTAGGGCTCACAATAGATATATTGGGGTTTTAATCTGGACAAGGGTAGACTAACAATTTGTGCATGACCTAGACATAGGCTTACATAGATTGCAGACTTTTAATTCATTTGCTTAATGCTTAATTCAAGAGGAATTACTAGGACACTGGGATTCTAATTGGGTTAAAGGTTTGAAATCACTAAGACAAATAATGAATTGTTTGAGCAAACCAATTAGTTAATTATAAAATACAATACTGGAATATAAGGGAGGATCGGAGGTGAAGTGCATCCTGACTACAGTTTTTTTACAGTTTTTAATCAATTTCATAATTTCTTGCATGCTTTTAAATATTATTGTTTTTAAAATTGCAATAATCAATCACTTTCACAATCAAACCAATCTTCTTTTCCAACTTAAGGGGAATAGATAAATTAATACTTGCTGCATTAATCCTCGAGGGAACGATATTTACTTATTACTTTTATTACTTGAAACGAACGGTATATTTGCCGATTTCGCAACAAGTTTTTGGCGTCGTTGCTGGGATTAATTACGCCAATATTATTTTTAACTTTCAATCTTTAAGATTGGACTTTTATTTTTTATTTTTTATTTTTTATTTTATTTTATTTATTTACTTATTTATATTTATATTTTATTTTTTATTTTTTATTTTTTATTTTTTATTTTTTATTTTTTATTTTTTTTATTTCTGTTTTATTTTATTTATTTTTATAAAAAAATTATATAAAAAAATTATTTATTTATTATTATTTTTACTAATTTGATTTCTCTCTTTTATGCGAAGTAAAATTAACCGTGAATCTTTACAGTTTGATCTAGAAATCGAGAAGACTGCAAAGAAGAACCAGAAGCTAACTAAGCTAAGGAAGCAAGAGGAATCCTCGAGTTCAGAGCCAAAAGCAGAACCCGAGATGGCATCACCTAATCCACCACCGGAGGAGGAATTGATGGAGTCAATCTTGGCTCCTCTGTTCACAAGGCCAAATTTTAGCATCGCCAGTCCACGAATCGATGCTAACAATTTTGATATCCATCCGTCACTGATAGGACTTGTGGAGAAAAATCTGTTTGGCGGGGAAGATTATGAAGACCCCTATGATTTCTTGAACAGATTTCTGAGAATCTGTGACACTACCAAGCATCATGGGGTATCAGATGATGCAATTAGACTGAGGTTGTTCCCTTTTGATGTAACAGGGAAAACTCTCAGATGGTTGGATCGACAAGCTCCTAACAGTATCAGAACATGGGACGATCTGGCAGCCAAGTTCTTTGCAGAACACTTTTCCATGGAGAAATACAACAAGTTGGTTAATGAAATTACCAACTTCACTTAACAGCCAGGAGAAACTCTGTGTGCAGCTTGGACCAGATTCCAAGAACTGATCAGAAAGTGCCCCCAATACGATTTGCTGGACGAAAAGAAAGTCAGAGTCTTCTACAATGGGATGACTCCATATTCTAGAATGATTGTCAAGGGTGCAGATGGTAGAACCAAAAGAAAGAAGACAGCAACTCAAACTTTAGAGCTGATTGATTATATGGTAAGGAGTGAGAACGTATCAATGGCAGTTCAACCGAGAAAATGAGTCCTTCAATTAGACAGCTATGATGCCAAGTTAGATGAACAGAAGCTGCTTTCACAACAGATGGCTATTTTAAATAGCAAATTTGAAACGCTTCATCCTTCGTTAGATCAAGCAAAGACACTCCCCTTTGAGTACTGTCATGGAGATCATGAAACCAATGAGTGCAACGTACTCATGGGATCAGAACCAATCCAAGTTAATGGGATCTGGTATGATCAGAGGCCTCAGCAGAATCCTCAAAGAAATCAGAACAACAATGTAAGGAACAATTTCAACTCCAAGTGGAAGAATCAAGGAGGATTGGATTATAAATCCAACCAATATTTACAACCTCCTCCAATTCCACAGACTCAACCATCTGAGCTAGAGAGAATTGATATAGTTAACGAAGACAATTGATATGTTCATAAATGAGACAAGGACTCGTCGCAAAAATCAGGATGCATCTCTCAGAAACTTAAAGAACCAGATCGGCCAACTGTCAATCAAGACAATTAGAAGAGAGGACTAAAGGCCAGTTTCCAAGTAACACCATAGTAAATCCGCGAGAAGACTGCAAGTCAATCATCACAAGAAGCGAAATAGTGATTACTCCTCAAGAAAAGCCAAAAGTGGTTCAGAAAAAGAAAGTTGATGAACCAGTAATTGAATCAGAGCAAGAAAAAGATAAGGTAACACCTGCAACCGAAGAGCCTGCGAAAAAAGACAAAGAAGAGGCAAAGGAGAAGGATGCAGAGACTCCAAAGAAACAATGCGATTTCTCATGCTTTGAGAAACCACCATATCCCATAAAGTCAAAGCAGCAAGCACAAAAGCAACAACATGCCAGGTTTTTAGAAATGTTTAAAAAGTTGCAAATTAATATTCCCTTTGCTGAAGCTTTAGCTAACATTCCTAACTATGCTAAGTTTATGAAAGATCTTTTGTCTAGAAAGCATATGTTGCAGGAATTTGAAACAGTAGCTCTCACACAGGAGTGCAGCTCCATAATTCAGAAAAAGTTTCCCCCAAAGTTTCGAGATCCAGGGAGTTTCAACATCCCGATTGCGATAGGCAACATTAATGTTGGCCGGGCATTGTGCGATCTTGGAGAAAGCATAAACCTCATGCCACTTTCCATGATGAAGTATCTCAAAATTTCTGAGCTGAAGCCTACTATGGTGTCTCTCCAACTTGCTGACATAACGTTAAGAAAACCAAACTGAGTAATTGAAGATGTACTTGTCAAGGTAGATAAGTTCATCTTCCCTGCAGACTTCGGAGTCCTTGACATGGAAGAAGAAGGAGACATGCCTCTTTTGTTGGGTAGGCCATTCCTTGCCACAACCAGAGCTATGATAGATATGGAGAAAGGAAAATTGGAGCTGAGATTGGATGACGAAAAGGTCACCATCAATGTGTTTGATGTTATGAAGCATGCTGAGGATAATAGCGACTGTTTTCTGTTGGACATTCTTGAAGAACTGTTCCTTGAAAAGAAAGATGATCAGACTCTTGAAGAAGAGACTGAATTCTTTGATGAGAACACTCCAAAGGAAAATGCTGAAATTCCAATGGAAGAATTGAAGATGAAAGAGTCAGACATCACAGTTGAAACACCAAAGGTGGAGTTAAAAGAGCTCTCACCTACTCTAAAATACGTCTTCTTAGGAGATGAAGAGACTTATCTTGTCATCATCAACAACGAGTTATCCGATTCTGAAGAAGCCAAGTTGATGAAAGTGCTCAAAGACCACCAAACAGCCATAGGGTGGTCCATCTCTGATCTAAAAGGAATTAATCTTTCCTTCTGCACTCATAAAATATTCATGGAAGACAACATCAAACCTGTGAGGTAGCCTCAGAGACGACTCAATCCTACCATGAAAGAGGTAGTCCGAAAGGAAGTAGTGAAACTCCTTGATGCCGGCATGATTTACCCGATCTCAGACACTGGATGGGTAAGTCCAGTTCAAACAGTGCCAAAGAAAGGTGGAGTTACAGTGATCAAGAACGAGAACAATGAGCTGATTCCCACCAGAACCATAATAGGGTGGAGAATGTGTGTGGATTATAGAAGACTAAATGATGCCACACGAAAAGATCACTTTCCTCTCCCTTTCATAGATCAGATGCTGGAAAGATTGTCCGGACATGCATACTACTGCTTCTTAGATGGATATTCCGGCTACAATCAGATACCTGTTGTACCAGAGGATCAAGAAAAGACAACTTTCACTTGCTCCTTTGGAGTGTTCGCCTACAGAAGGATGTCGTTCGGCCTCTACAATGCACCTGCTACTTTTCAAAGGTGCATGTTTTCCATAATTTCTGATATGATTGAAAAATCATTGGAGGTATTTGATGTGCTACTTTTTTCTTTATTGTTTTCATGAATACTTTTTATTTCTTTAATTTGTTAGAGTCGGCTATGTCTGGCTAGTTTCTTTTTGTAGTCGGGATCACGGACCCAATGTGATTCCTTTATATTTCCTATACTGTTTTTATAAGTTAATTAGTTAGTTTGTTTTATTTTGCCTGTGTTAATTTTTCCATATCCTGTTTAGAACTGATCACTCTAAATTACAGGGCTTTGAGGGTTAGGGCTCACAATAGATATATTGGGGTTTTAATCTGGACAAGGGTAGAATAACAATTTGTGCGTGACCTAGACATAGGCTTACATAGATTGCAGACTTTTAATTCATTTGCTTAATGCTTAATTCAAGAGGAATTACTAGGACACTAGGATTCTAATTGGGTTAAAGGGTTGAAATCATTAAGACATTAGGGTTCAACTATTTTATAGGAAAATAATGAATTGTCTGAGCAAACCAATTAGTTAATTATAAAATACAATATAGGAATATAAGGGAGGATCGGAGGTGAAGTGCATCCTGATTACAGTCTTTTTTACAATTTTTAATCAATTTCATAATTTCTTGACGTTCTTGATAAATTATTGCATGCTCTTAAATATTATTGTTTTTAAATTTCTATTTTTAAAATTGCAACAATCAATCACTTTCACAATCAAACCAATCTTCTTTTCCAACTTAAGGGAAATAGTTAAATTAATACTTGGTGCATTAATCCTCGAGGGAACGATCTTTACTTATCACTTTTATTACTTGAAACGAACGATATACTTGCCGATTTCGCAACAGACCTCCTTAACACTGATGTTTATTTTTACCCTCAATTTCAGAATGTGCATCTTCTACCCCGTTATATTCAACAACCTCAAAATCTGAATTTTCCACTCCAACCTGTGTATTTACTGCATATATTCTAAAACTCACATCTGACTCCACTTTTTATGGCTTTTCAATAGCTTCCAAAAAAATCTTATTTAGCTTAGATTCCTTGAACACAACATCTCTACTGTAAGTTACACTTTTAGTTGGGGCTTCGCCCCTTAATGTTATCAAAAAAAAAAAGTTACACTTTTAGTATTTGGATTCCACAACTTGTACCCTTTTGATGCCATCCTTATACCCAATAAAGATACATTTTTCTAATTTAATGTTAAGCTTGTTTCTTTTCTCCTTAGTACATGCACATGTGCCTTATAGCCAAATACTCTGATATGAGATACGTCTAGCCTCTTCTTAAACAGTACTTCAATGGAGTCTTATTCTTCAAAGTCGATGTAAAAGACTTATTTTTCATATAGCAAGCAGTAGCCACTATCTCTGCCCAAAACTCAGCTGCCAAACCTGCACCACTCAATATACTTTGTGCTTTCTCTATTAGAGATTGATTCAACCTCCTTGCCACCCCATTTTTGTTAGGTTATAATGTGTTGTCTTTTGCCTTGCAATCCCACTGTTCGCACATTATTGATCAAATTTTACTGAACAATCCATTGTCAGTTCTCATCACCTTGATTTTCTATCAAACCAATTTTCCATCAATGTCTTGAACTCGCATAATTTTTCAAACACCTATCCTTGCTGCACAAGAAATATATCTACACATTACAAAATTATGAGTAAAAGAATCATAATAACTTGAAAGAAGAGGGTATTTGAAATATTATTGAATTGTATTTGAATCTGTACATAGGGGTCTCTATTTATAGAGACTTCTTGACCTAATTTTGACCTAATGGGCTTGGCCCAATATACAAGTAACGGACTAAATAAATACAAATAAATGACTACATGATTACTAATAAATGACTACATAATTACTAATAAATGACTACATAATTACTATTTACAACACTCCCCCTCAAGCTGAGGAATAGATATTTATCATTCCCAGCTTGCTAGCAAGTTCTTGAAATCTATCTGAAGGAAGCTCCTTTGTCAATAGATAAGCTAATTGACGCCCAGTGGGAATGTATGGAGTGGTAATCAACCCGCTATCAAGTTTCTCTTTGATGAAATGGCGGTCGACCTCAATATGTTTAGTCCGATCATGTTGAACTGGATTATGAGCTATACAAATAGCGGACTTATTATCACATAGCAGCTTCATAGGTCCCTCACATTTTATTTTTAGATCATCAAGTACAATTTTTAGCCACAGTAACTCACAAATGCCTTGATTTTTCACTACCAGGGTGGACCCAAACATATCGATGTATATCAAGTCTAGGATCCCTTTAGTTCTTCCTCTTATGAATTCAAAAGATACCATATTTTGCTGCCTGTGTAGGTAATGCTCACATAATCTAAAACCTATAGAATAGCTTGGAATTTCATCTACCAACTTCTTTGATGTCAAAGTCTCCATACATTTTCCATAGTTTTTACTACTGAACATTGTGTGAAGTGATTTCCATAGTTTACCATAATGTTCTCTTCTTGCCATTACCATAGCTCCCCGAGACAGCTTGCATGAATACTTGTCAACCGAAATTAATACCCACATCTTCCATACTTCCAGCGGAGATAAAATTTCTGGTAAGGCCTGAAAATGCATTATATCTGACAGATTCTTGATTATTCCATCATTCATCTTTAACTTTACCTTCCCACTCCCCATAATATCATGAGTTATGTCATTCTCCATTCTGACTGTACCATTAGAATATAATTTATAAGTGCAGAACCAATCCCTATGAGCTGTCATATTAAAGGATGATCCAGTATCAATTATCCATTCATTGCAATCACTATAAGAATCAAATGCCATATACATATCTTCTACACTATCCTCATTATCTTTCTTTGTACTAGAAGGTGACTCCTCATGTTTCTCAAGACCTACACTTTTACTTATGCAATTCTTTCTCAAGTGCCAAAAGCAAATGAAAGTGACTAATGAAAATAAGGTGGCTAATGAAAATGTTTGCTATCGTTGTGACATGACAAGACATTAGTCACGTACCTGTCAAATGCCAAAGTATTTTGTTAATTTATACTAGACATCATTAGAAAATAAGGACAAGTATGGTGATTCTTATGCCATTAAAATTAATCTCATAGCCATAACTGTTATTGAGACCAACAATATTTCTATTAGTAGGATTCCTCTTGCTCTTGAACTAGAAAATACATCTTTGGATGTAGATGATATCTTTAATACCCTCCCAAGGCTTTGATCGGGCATCAGACTGATGAATGAAGCTTAGATTTTTATTTTGAAATAATTTTGTTGCTTGTTAAGTTTTGTAATTCCTTTCTGGTTGGAATTCCCTATTACGTATTGTAATTTTTGTTATTTTTGACATGGTTTATAATGAAATACTTATGAATTTATATAAAAATTTATTTATTCTATTTGATTCTATAACTATTATTGTAATATTTATGAAATATGACACCTGAAGTTGTAAATATAAGTGCCAATGAATAATATTGAGAAAAAATATGTGTATTTGCTTGATAATGGATTAATGCATTCCATGTTTAGTAATAAATACTTTTTCTTGAATGTGACATTTCGGTAGACACATGTTCATACAATATCTGGTCCTACTAAGATTGTTGATGCTTTTGGAAATGCCATAGTTGTTTAGCTAAATAATATCATTTTGCATATTAAGAATGCATTTCTAAGCACTATATCCAACAGGAATTTTCTTAATTTAAAATATGTATGACAAAATAGGTACCTTATTGAGATTATTTCTGAACAAAGTAAGGAATATCTTGGAATTATCTCTTATACGATGGGTCAAAAAATAATCCATGAGAAGCTAGAAGCTTCGTCAATTGGTTCATATTGTGTCATGATTAAAAACAATTGAAACATATGCTACCATTCCCTAGAA